CTTAATACATCATCGCGGTGTATTGGGAGGTAAAATCATAATTTTCTGTATTATTTCTTTAAGGAATAAACTTAACTTTTCCTTTTTGGATTTAGCTGGTCATTATATCGCCTACGTAAAAAATCCAATAGATGGTAATTGGTATGAATATGATGATACTGTACGTTTATGAATTCATTATAATGTGTACATATTTTCATCATCATAAGTTTATTAATGAAGAATGAATTTTAAATATTAGTATGTTACCAAAAAATCCGCAGCAGATATATCTCGTTTGGAAGCATATGCTTTGTTTTATCAGAAGAAAAGTCCAGAGAAGGATCAAGAACGTAAAGAAATATTAGCTAGAATTTACAAAGATGTAGGGACTAAATATTAAAAAATAAAAATTTTTTATTTCCGTGCCTTTAATGTCTAATATATCTATTTTAATAGTCTGGTGTTGAAATTCCTTATTTCATATCACGACTATGGTTTAACAGATGGCAATTTACGACGACGGTAATTTATTACTAAATCAAATATTTTATTACACATTATTTTTATTTCATCTAATTAACTTTTTCTTTGAATATCAGCCTGGTCCTTTAACTAATTATGACTTTCTTTGTAAACATGGAAGTTCGTGTTTTATCAAATCAATTGATTGTTAATATTATTAAAGAATATTTTTTCTTCAGACTCAAACTGATGTGTATTAACTGAATTTAGGTATAAATCTAAAGCGATACCCTAAAATACGAAATATGGTGGTTAAAGTACCATATAGCGTTTATACCACACTTGTTTATAAATATGGCTCAGACGGCAGTCCTCCATATTTTTCCACTGATCACGGAATATTGGGATGTGTTATTTGTGAGGTATATTACGGTTTTTTTTAATAGGATTGAAACTTATATAAACCCTCAACTTTTCAAATGATTAATTTTGGGTTTTTAATAATGAACCAGAAAGAAGAAAAAATGTTGGAACAAAGACGTCAGAAAGAGTCTCTTGACATTGGAATGATTGATACTAATACGATAAAGCGTGGCGAATATTGGTTTTTAATAAGTTCTAAATGGCTTTCAAGTTGGCATAATTTTAAGTCCGGAGGTAAAAATTAATTTATTATTTTTGTTGTTAATGCTATTCATGTGATCAATCAAATAAGGGAAATTATGTGATGTATACCATCTAGGACCTCCGCCCGGACCTATAAATAATTATTCTTTTCTTCAAGAAGATGGAAGCCCAAAGCCCAGAATGAAGAGAGGTTAATTTATAAAATATCTATTTATTATGGAAATTAATGTTATGCTAATATTGCATTTTTA